GCTCACTCGAAGGTTGTCGGACAGTACTTCTGGGATGTGCGCTGGGGTTCATTCGTACTAAGCTCTCTCGTTTTGAGCTGTATATTCCATGCAGCCTTATAGCAGTGCCGAGCCTGCAGTGGCTTGGTTGCTATCGCCCTACAGATGGCGGTAGTCAGCTGGCTTTCTTATGCCATCGTGAGAGAAGCGTAGATGATCAGAGATGGTCAGAAATAATCAGTGGTAATGTGAGGGCTCGTCAGCGATTGTTTTGCTGGCACATGGACGAAATAAAAGGGGTGCCACAAACGGCGGAAATGCGCTCCAATCAAAAGCGAGTGCCTACTTTGGAAGAGAGCGCATCAAAAATTCACGTAATACTGTAGCGGTGTGACCAATAGTTCAGGTCACGGTCACGGGGCCTCTGAACAGGCCGAGGTTGAACCGGTGGTCACGGTCACGATAAGCCGATGAACCGGCTGCGAATTAGCGTGACTCGGGCGCTTTTCAATATATTCAGCATTTTTTCCCGAATTTTGATCGTCGCACAAGCTCAATGTTGTCTTCGGAGCACACAATTAGCCCATGCTAGAACTGCATGTATTGCAAGAAATTTCCTCCCCCTCATCAAATTTGTGTGCACGGCCCGTGTTGTCAGGCCAGTCAACACCTAGGACGGCCTTGGCAAGGGCAGCCAATGTGTCATCCACTGCACGAGGATATCCAGAGGTACACTGTTAGAACGTGCTTCTTGGAAATATACACGGGGTAATACTCGCATCGGGGCAGTAGTCCCGGCACTCACAGATATCCGGATATACCGCTTGGTCCTCGCGCGGGCAAAGGTGCGAGAACCCTTCTTAAGCCCAAGAATTCGGCCTAATACACATGTGCTCCCGACAACGGCCTTGCCCAATGCGCCCTGCGCCTGCTCTAGTCGCGGCTGGGTCACCGGTCTCTGAACTCTGAACTGACCAGGTTTCAAGTGTCACGGGTCACAGGGCCTGAGATGTTGGTCGTATCGCTACAGTGCTCGCAGGCCTGAGGATCGATTGGATACGGTGGTTAGGATGCCTATAGGATATTGCAGAGGCTACAGTGCTTACTGTGGAATCGAACTGCTCTCAGTGCTGCAACAGCAACTTGCGCATGCAGTCTCTGCCAGTGAGCGAGACGCCGCCTATTGGCAAAGCCCGCGGCGCCTGTCTGAAACCACAGGCCCTAGCCCATAAAAGGCAGGCATTGTTCTTGAACGGCTTCAATTCCAGCGTCACCATGGCAAGCCCTACCTCGCGTGTTAATCCATCCCACTGCCTACCTGTGTCGGCACCTTGAACCTGCGGCGACCTCAAGACATGCAGAAAGCCGGCGAAGACGTGCACGAGCTCAACACCCTCTGTTCGTTGCGAACGGCGAGCTCGGAGACTCTGCGTATGGACAGCCCCAAGGAGGCCTCCGCTAAGCAGAGCCTGCTGCCCCGCAGCCGCGAAGAGTGCCAGAAGCTGTCACCACGGCAGCGCCAGATTCTGGGACAGTGCAACGAATCGCAGCTGGAGACGTCTGCTTCTCCCAGCGGTGCCACATACGGAGTACTTTTTGAACTATCGCGGTACGTTTGGCTTGTATATGAAGCACTGTGTCTGACCGCCTCGTGCAGAACAAAATCATATGGCCCTGCAATCCATTATCTTGCCTTAAGGCTCATGTTTCGAGACATGAAGCGAGGGCATGTCGACGGCTTGGCCCGTGCTCTTGTGGCGCTTTCGTTGGAAGAAATAGAAGCTTTCTTTGCAGGCATGTCCGCAGACGAAAGGAGTCAGTGGTACGCTGTGTTTATAGAGCTTACGACCGCAGGAACTAACGCGGATCGATAGGGTCAGATTTTCACGAGTCAGTCTTCGCTCTACAGCACCACTACCGACCACAGGACTCTGGTATGCCCTCATTAAAGCAATGGCTGAGGCGCATGACACGCTCGACAGCGCGCGGGCAGTGGCCCTACTCCGCATGTACGACTGGCATACGCCGTTTGTCCTGCTCTTCCCCTCCGACCCTTCGAAACCAGACCCGAGCCGGCTCAAGCTCATACTAAACTACGTCCAGGCGAGCTACAGCGACTGTCTGCCGCAGGTCCGGGACGACGACCCGAATCCGCCAGAGTCCGACATCGTCCTGCAGGTCTACGCAGCCTACTTCAGCATATGCCCAGAGCCGCTGCTCTCCTCTCTGCTCGATCACGTCATCGCAGGCTTCACCTCTCACACACTACGCGACTTCCACGAGCGGGACCTCGCAGCCTTGTCCAACAACGCTCCGTATTTTATAATGCAACCTTCCTCTCTTGACGAGCCTGCGGACTCTTCCCGTGGGCGAATCTGGATGACAAAACAGCATCCCGCATCACCATACCTGCTCTTTGCACTGCGACTTGCGACGTGGAGTGCCGCCGCCCGGGCGGGGCTCGTCAAGCGCGGTGTCGTGCAGGCCATCGAGGCGCTCTACGACATGGACGAGACCGTCGTCAACACCGACTGCGGCGAGCGGCTCGTGTCCGGGATCAGCCAGCACATCATGCTCCAGCTGTGTGCCCTCCTCCTCGGCGCACTCTCCGAGTGCTACGACTCGAGTAGGAGCACGCTGATGGAGGAGTTACGCGCCGACATCGCGAGCTACTCCCGCTCCATGTCCAGACGTTTCTTTGCGCCTGAGGTGTGGGAAATTCGTGATGACTAGTCCTGCCTCTCGTCACCAAACTGTCACCTATACCCCACACGCCACTTTTGCTATCTACTGCTCCAAAGAGTCTCGGATTGGGCGTGTAATTTCTATGAATTTGTGCGCGGCGACTAAGTCCCGAGATACACGGAAGACATTACTTAGGTTACGGTGCTCGCTGGTAGACGTGGCGCAGTGGCAGGTCTCAGCGCACCAATGTCACTGAACTACTTTTTGGAAACGAAACACGGTACATGGCGCCCGCAGCACCTGCCATGAGGTCATCATTATTCCCCGTAAAAGGCAGGCATTGTCCGACGGCCTCGATGCTTCAGCGTCACCATAGCAAGCGCAGCTGCCGAGAGCGTGATCTCGACGCTATCTTGAATGACCACGACGACTGAGAAGGCCCCAGCATTCCCTACCTCGTGTGCCCTTTTGTCTCGTTTGTCTAGGCCTGCGGTAGTACTTCCAATCTGCGGTAACTCGAGGTATGAAGAAAGCTTATGAGGGTGCGGCCCGCGAACTTGATACGCCCTGCTCGCTGCGGACGGCGAGCTCGGAGACTATGCGCACAGACAGTCTCACAGAGCTCTCTACCAAACAGAACGTGCTACCTCGCAGCCGCGAGGAGTGCCAGAAGCTGTCACAGCAGCAGCGCCAGATATTGGTGCGAAATGCCGATTCGCTTTTGAGGACGTATGAGGGAGCTAGCGAGGCAACCTATGGAGTGCTCTTTGAACTATCACGGTATGCTGTGCTTGTGTTGATCCTGAAGAGTGAGATGAAGCTCATTGTCTCGGATAGTACAACGCTGTATGGGCCCGAAATTCACTCCCTCGTCCTGAGGTTTATATTCCGAGACATGGACCGAGGGCAGGTTGACGGTCCGGCCCGCGCCCTCGTGGCACTTTCGCTGGACGAGATACAGGCCTTTTTTGCAGGTTTGTCCGCAGACGAGACGAGTCAGTGGTACGCCGCCCGCACTAAGTAACCCTTCAAGACGACGGATCCTGATGCTGGCCTAATAGGGATAGACATTCACAAGTCGATCTTCGCTCACCATCCCAGCTTCCGACAGCAGGTTTCTGGTATGCCCTCATCAAGGCAATGGCTGAGGCACATGATACGCTTGACAGCGCGCGCGCGCTGGCTCTGCTCCGCGCGCACGATCACAAGCCATTCGCCCTGCTATTCGCGGCCGACCCCTCGAAACAAAACCCGAGTCCGATTGATCTCGTGCTGAGCTACGTCCGGGCGAGCTACAACGACTGCCTGCCGCAAGTCCGAGACGGCGATCCGAACCCACCGGAGTCCGATCTCGACCTCGAGGTCTACGCAGCCTACTTCAGCGCGTGCCCGGAGCCGCTGCTCTCCGTCCTGCTCGACCGCATCATCGGGGGTATCAACCCACGTGCGCTCCGTGCCTACCGGGCCCACAACTTCGCAACTCTGCTCGACACCGCGCCGTACCTCCGACCACGCTTTCCATCTACCCAGGATCCCGCGAATGGCTTCCACGGCCGAATCTCGACGATTAACCAGCACCCTGCGTCGCCGTACCTGTTCTTCGCGTTGCGTCTCGCGACATGGAGTGCGGCTGCGCGCGCAGGACTTGTCAAGCGCGGTGTTGTGCAGACCATCGAAGCACTCTACGATATGCCGGACGAGATCGTCATCGAGACTGACTATGGCGAGCAGGTGGTGTCTTCGATCAGCCAGCACATCATGCTCCAGCTGTGCTACCTCCTGCTTGGCTCGCTCTCAGACTGCTACGACCCGAGCGGGAGCACCTTGATGGAGGAGCTGCGAGCCGACATCGTGAGCTACTCGCGGTCCATGCTTCGACGCCTTTTCGCGCCAGGACGGGAGACCCGTGACGACTAGTCTGACCTCGCATTTATTTTGCTGCATTCTTCGAAGACTCGTTATTTACAACTTTACACGCATACCCATAGGTACTCACCTTTCAACGCTTAGTCGCCTCGAAGCCTGAATGGCGAACTTTATATGTATACCATTACCCTGACTATCCCGATCTTTTGTTCCTCTCCACTTCTCCCGCTCAGTCCACCATCTACTGCGCTTTAGCTCTCTCTGTGTTTGAATCCCAGGCCTCTCGCTCTTTACAGCTACTTATGTCTGTTCGTCTTCGCACTCGCACTTGGACTAACAGTCCTTTACATTTTGCTGCGGTATATAGGATAGTCGACATCATGTTAAACGTGTACTCTATACCCAAGCAATGCCTACGCCTGAGCAGAGGGAGGCGCGACCTCGGGCAGATTGGCGCCGAGGTTATCCGGAAGTGCGAGCGTCGGGTCAGTCTCGCTCTTCAGGCGGCCGCCAAAGAGCACAGGGCCGTTCGCATCGCGGAAGGCAGCGATGCGCTTCTCAACCTCCGGGCGGAAGTGGCGCATGAGGCCTTGGATAGGCCACGCCGCGGCGTCACCCAACGCGCAAATTGTACGGCCCTCGATCTGTTTCGTGAGCTCGAGGAGCATGTCAATCTCGCGCTGGTGGCCCCGACCCTCGACAAGGCGATCCATCATGTTCATCATCCATGTTGTGCCTTCACGGCAAGGTGTGCACTGTCCGCATGACTCGTGCTTGTAGAACTACGGAGAGTGGGTCAGCCACAGCCAATCATCGCCATGGAATTTGCCGGCAGTCACGTTCGCCCAATGTAGTATTTCCATACAGAGGGAGCAAGGGCGCTCGATAGCTAAGCGACTGGCTAACGGCAAGTACGGGTCGCGCTGCCGTTGCCACAGTCATAGAGACCGGGGAAGTGAATAGACTTACATGTGCGAAACGAGCAATAGCAGCGACAATGTCGGTGCTCTTGTTCATGACGATGACAGCGCCAGTTCCGAGACCGGACTGTGCGTCCTTTAGGGAGTCGTAATCCATCCTAGTGAATGTCAAAGACCATACAAACAGTAAACGAGAAGGACACCCACAGAACTTCACCGCACTTCTTGATGGGAAGGACAGGGACAGAGCTACCACCAGGGATAATGCCCAGGAGGTTGTCCCAACCACCAACGACACCACCACAGTGCTTCTCAACGAGATCCTTAAGCGGGATACTCATTTCCTCCTCGACGACACAGGGGTTGTTGACATGTCCACTGATGCAGAAAAGCTTGGTACCCTGATTACGCGCGCGGCCGAAGCCCGCGAACCAAGGCGCGCCGCGACGGCAAATTGTGGGAGCGACAGCAACGGTCTCGACATTGGCGACAGTGGTGGGGCAGCCAAAGAGACCGACGTCGGCAGGGAATGGTGGCTTCAGGCGAGGCTTGCCCTGCTTGCCCTCGAGGGATTCAATGAGCGCGGTCTCCTCACCGCAGATGTAGGCACCCGCTCCGCGGTGGAGGTAGACATCGAAATCGTAGCCAGAATTGCACGCGTTCTTGCCGAGGAAGCCAGCCTTGTACGCCTCGTTGATCGCCTGCTGGAGGTGCGAAGCTTCCTGGTAGAATTCACCACGGATGTAGATGTATGCAGCGCTGGCGTTCATGGCCCGGCCGGCAACGAGACAGCCTTCAACGAGCTTGTGCGGGTCACCACGCAAAATCTCTCTGTCCTTGCAGGTGCCGGGTTCTCCCTCGTCTGCGTTTACGACCAGGTAGCGTGGGCGGGGATCCTTCTGCCAGTCAGGCTTGTTCATGAAACTCCACTTAAGACCGCTCGGAAACCCGGCACCTCCGCGGCCGCGCAAACCAGAGTCTTTAATGGTCTGAATGATCCAGCTGTCACCCTTGAGCAAGATGTCCTTTGTCCTGTGCCAGTCTCCTCGGGACTGTATTGACTTAGTTCGCTCGTTCAGATCCTATGCCTTTGATCACTCACCTGAGCACCCTTTATCCCATGATCATGCCTGCAGTATGCATTTGTGAAGATACGGTCCTGGTCCTTCAAACCGCCATATCGACGAACGGGGGTGTCTTGGACGGTAGCAAAGCTTCGACGCAGCTTTGCCCGGAAAGGGCGGGCTATGTCTGCGGACATTGTCAAGTTAGAGCCATAGATAACGTGTCAAATGACGTACGAGACGTCGACGACGATGCTCTGAACATCGTCAGTGATTTCGAAAGCGTCGTCGACGATTGGTTTGCGGCAAGACGTGCGGCGGGTAATCCGTGACGGAACGGAAGTGACGTGACACGATGTAACACAGGTCACCTAAAGTCACAGATGCACGGTTTTCCGCTTTTAGGAGCTCTTGTGGATTGCATGAAGCTCATGTTCAAACCCTAACCTGGTCGCGACATGAGGCAGGTGCATGGCCACCGCGCTGGCAGGGGATGGACTCTGACTTCATCTAACCACTTCACTTGACAATACTGTACTTTTACGACCGTAGCGGATGGCCTTGTGACTGTGACACAGGCGCACCGAACCGGATGAGCGGACGGCTCGCGGACGATCGAGCGCGGCTACAGTATTTTATCTGGGTGGCATTGTTGATATGTTAATACATTCTACGGTATTACAGAGCGCCGCAGGCCTGAAAAAATGCGACTTCTTCTTCGTGACAAATCTCAGGTGTCACAACCGGATAGACCCCTCTGTGACATGTGACATCCGCTACGGTCGTAAATCGAGTTTAACGGAAGTTTACACAAGTCGAATGAGCGACGCGCGCACGCGGACTCGAAGCGCTCTTCGCCGCACCCAGAGGCCCGCGGCCTCCGTTCCCCTGCTCGCAGCAGGATGAGTCCAACAGCGGACGCACACGGACCTGCTCAGGAGTGTTAGGTACGTCGCCGATGCTTTGTCAGCAGTGGGCGTACCTAACTGGGATCCTCCTGACCGCAGATGGGTATATAGGTGCAGCCGCGAGGGACAGGGGCTGCACGCCTCGTCCCGTCTGACCTCCATCTGCGTTAGGTTCGTGCTAGCATTTCTGTCACGCCTCGCCAGGTCTGACCTCCATCTGCGTTAGGCTTCGAGTCCATTTCTTGCGCTGACTCGAAAAGTCGCACCTCAGCGGAGGAGCTGATTCGAGTACAGTATTGTGTCGCACCTCGTAACTTTAAGCTTCAGCGTTCTAGCGATGTCCTCCGACTCGTCTCTACACACGCTTGCCCAAGTGCCCAGCGGAGGCAGCTTAGAAGATGCGCTCGCAGACTCACTCTCTGGCATTCAGTTCATCGATACCACATTTTACGCATGCACACGACGCTTGCAGTCTGGCAAAGCCGGGAAACCACGGGCTGTGCGAGCAAACAGCACTATCCTGAAAGCATCCTCGACTTACTTTCGTGGTCGTACGTAACTGGAATCGTCTGCATGTAGAGCCTGCAGATGTTGACCAAAGCACAGTCCTGTCGGGCCCGGCGTACTCTGTCGCGTCTTCAGATGCACTTTCGGCAGAGCACTTTCAAGGATCTGACGACCGTTACGAATGCGAGTCGGACAGCGACCTGGAAGATGAAGACGACGATCTCGACGTTTTTGGCAGTTTGTTGGCCACCCCTAGCGAGGTCGAGTCTGCCAAGGAGAAGACCGACGATAAGCCAGTAAGACCATCTTTGTCACATAGTTCTATATGCATATGCTCATGGTGTATGAGATAGGCTGGCCTACTTCATACTGATTCGGCTAGTGGAGCAGCAGCGATTAAAGACGGTACACGTGCTGTGAGGATGAACTCTGTGGCCGCTGACACGTACGTATCAGTTTGGTATCGCGATATCTGCTTACCCAACCTGTCTTCACAGACTGGAAGCTCTCATCTTTTACATCTATACGGGAAACATATACTTCTTGCCGTTACGCTCGCATGGTACAAAAGTCCGTGAGGAAGCCAAAGCCAAACATCACATAGAGCGTAAAAATCGACCTTATTGCTCCTGCAAATCCATTTACCGATTTGCCGATGAGGTACTGCAGCAAACCCCGATCCTTCGTGGCGGATCTGAACGCTGACTATCACCGCAGGTCGGTCTCGCGGAGTTAAAACAACAAGCAGAGAACCGTCTATTCTCTCAATTGGATGCCGAGAACATCCTAGACGAGCTGTTCTCTCGCTTCACCTTGCAGTACGTTTTTCTGAGACCCTATAATTAATAATATAAACATAACAAGATGGCTTTTCTAGGTATCCGGACATCTTGACCCGCCAGATCAGGGTCCTGCTCGATAACTACTGGACCGCATCCACGCAAGCAGCTCTGTCACCCAAAATCCAAAGCGTCGTGCGTGGGGATGTACCACACGCTGGTCCCGTTCTACTCTCGCTTCTTTCGCATATACCCGCTACGCCCAAACGGGTGCCACCGGCAGATGTCAAGGAGCCTGCCATCGCGCCACCTCCTACCATACAAAAGCCTGCTACATCTCCGCTTGTCACTGCACCTCCGCCCGTCGCTGCACTCTCACCTATCGCTGTGCCCCGACCCGTCGCTACGCCCTCACCTGTTGCTGCACCCCCACCCACCGCCGCACCCTCACCCGCTGCCGCCGCCGCCGCCGTTGCAGCTGCAGATCCTTCCAAGCCCGCTGCCTCAACACCAGAGGCTGTGAAATCAAAGTCGAAACCATCGAAGCCGAGCAAGGACAAAGGGAACGCCAGCAATGTCTAAACGGGCCTGGAGGCGATGGCTGCCACGGCTCGACTGCTTAGCCGCTAGCCGGGTTATTGTTCTGCGGCTCAATCGATAACAACTCACTGACAGGTATTCATTCCCTCCCTTACTACGACTACCTAACGATTACTTGCTGACCGCACTGCGTGCGGTCTCTGCGAACACCTTCCAGAAGAGAGGGAACGAGACTAGACTCGGATGAGGGTTGAAACGTACATGTACATACCGTCAACTACCTGCATACCGTTCCGGACGAAGCGATCCACGACGAGCAAGGGCTTGTGCGCTGCGCGCCGCTCAACGACCGCCTGCGCGCTCTTACAGTCGACACCGAGGGCGCCTTCGCAGTATGTTACATCGTGCGCGGCGCATGCCCCGGGCGACGGGCAGGACATCGAGAACAGTCCGCGCAAAGCACTCGAGATGGTGAAGAACCGCGTCGAGGGTGAGGCGGCTGTAGCGAGCTGAGCGAGCACTCTGGCATCGAAACGAAGACGTGCTAGCTTGATATATATGTATATATGCACCTGAAGAAGCGCTGCTTCAAGGCAGAGATCTATGTGTACAAAGCAAGGAGTGCGTGCGGCTGCTTCATTATACTCAGCAATAGGGCGATACTGACTATGAAAACAAGTCAGTGTGGGCAAGTGAGTGTTCCAGAAAACCTTGCAGCCTGCTACTAACACATCTGCGCTGCGTCTGCTAAAGGATTTCGACTGGAAAATGTGGACTATTATCGAATATTCGCGCATTTGTCGTGCCGATAAAATTAGGGCGCTTAAATAAAGTAGAAACGTTACTGGCCCCGTGGTGGAACTAACTGTGGGAATCTTTCCTTAGTTACTAACCGGGAAGAAGCCCTGTGGGTAGTTTCGCAGGGAAGACTAGTCCGTACATTAGTATGACGGCAACGTTCAGCAGCGCACTACGCAGCTCCTGTCAGAGCCAGGACCCAGGCCCGCTCGCTGCAAACTCGGGATTCTACTGCACAGCCGAAGTTTCCTGGCTATGTCTATATCTCTTCTAATGCGAGCCGTGAATCCTGCTATTCCTCTCGGTGCGGATAATGACGAGGTGTGTTCTTTCTCGTTCCTTCTGTTTATTCCAATGCGATGTCTGATGGGATGCTTCAGGCTGTGATCAGCGAAGAGATCGGCTTTGACGCTCTCAATTCTCTCGCTCCCACAAAACAAGAACGCTTTGCCCACTGTACACGGGTATCCTGGATTTGCGCTGTCTGGAAGTATCTCGTAGACTCGGACCCTTTCTAAACCTTTGATGGTAGCCTTCGTTCCCGTGACTCTAGTGGCAGGAGCTTCCGAGAAGCGCGGTTATGACTACACATCTTGTCTTCCCTTCCATTCATCGAGCACAAGAGGTACTACTATCGCAGGACACCCTCCGGTAGTCCAGTATAGACTTTGTTCTCGCCCTCTATCTTCTCTTGCCCGAGTCGCACTCATGGCTAGTGAGGACATTGAGGCAAATATGGCTTGTCCGTGTTGTTCAGCTGTAAGTGGGAAGCTCTCTCTCTTTCCAAGCCGACAAATTAACAGAAGTCACAGAACGGCACAAATCCGTCCAAGACAAATGCCTCGAACATATGGCAGACAATGGTCAAGACAGTACGGGATGTTGATATGCAAAGGGTGACAAACACCAAGGAGGACATTGACACCCTCCTTGTCTTTGTACGTATGCCATTCATCGGCCCGTTATGCTGTTCCCTCAACATGTGCAACTCAGGCCGGTCTATTCTCGGCCGTGGTCACGGGCTTTGTTGTTACGACATATCCCAACCTTCAACCCGACGACAGCGACGAGATCGTCTTCCTCCTACGTCAGTCCCTCGCGCAAAACTACACCGTCAGCGACGGGGTTCTGCGCCCGATGGCACCCTTTCCCTCCGATCCGCCGTTCGAAGCTCCCCTGTGGGCTATACGCGTCAACGGCCTCTGGTTCGCGAGCCTTATCGTCAGCCTTTCCACCGCCTCGTTTGGCATGCTCGTAAAGCAGTGGCTAATCGAGTATCTCGCAATGGAGTGGATATCGCCCCAGGAACGCCTGCGCGCTCGACAATATCGCTATCCCGGACTTAAGGACTGGAAAGTCTTCGAAATAGCTGCCGTGCTCCCTCTCCTCCTTCATATTTCCCTTGGCCTGTTCTTCCTCGGTCTCTGTTTCTACACTGCCGCGGCGAACGAGACTGTTGGCCGGTCTACGTTCCCTCTCGTTGCCGGATGGGCGTTCTTCGCCCTATTGACCGTGGTCGCGCCGCTGGCCTCGCCTCGATGCCCGTACAAGGTCACCCTTCTCAAAGCTGCTATGCGTGTAGGAAGGCGCTATGTTACCTCCCGTCTCCGGAGACCGATACTCGTGGCGAAGGATACAGTGGTTTCGGTGGCGAAACGGATATGGAACGTCATCTGCCTGCCGTTCCGCCTCGTCGACACCTTTATTTCTGGCTTCTGGGAGCTGGTGAAGGTCGGCAAGAAGATATCTGCGCTCCTTGGAATCCTTGTATTCCTGTTCTACGCGCCGTTCGGACTCCTGAAGCTTTTATACACCTATCTTATGAAGTTCGCTGTCTCCGTTGTCGCGGTTCCTGAGAACGACAACGAGGAAGAAGAAGATATAATGAAGAAGCCACACGAGACACACGAGCTGCTGCTCTCGGTCGATAAAGTCATCATCAACGACGGTCCGATTCTCGAAACCATGTTAGAGGTACTCAAGCAGACCCATACTGATTCTCCCTTCATCACCACCTTCGTCCTGGGTTGCATTCGACACCGCATCGGAGCTGCTAACGGGAGCTCCTCAATACCAAACATTGAGGGTCCTGTTCAAGGATTATTGGATCTGCGTACGCTCTCCGAGAGCGCATGGAACCTATTAACCGGACTCATGGGCGAGACGCTGGGGCCCCATCTCTCTCTCACAGAGAAAGCCGGGCCCGTCGACGTGAACTTAAGCTCGTACGACCCTTGGATGGCAAATGCAGCTGCGGTGCTTGTCTCTAAATCCCGGAGGACTCTCCCCAAACGCGTAGTCCCAATACTCTCCAACCCCATCACTCTCGCCAAGGTACTCCAGCTGGTCAGGACTGTCAACAAAGCCTGGCCTCTGCGCGATATCCTCAGCCTATTGTGGATTGCCTTTGCGTCCCAGAAGAGGGACCACAGCAACATGTCGGCCGAAGTAATCAAGAACTGGGACAGTCTTCCTGCCCTGGATGACCGGGCTCCCAGCGATCTCCAAGAGGCTGTCACACAGATCCTTCTGGAGAACGCTTGGCGCATCGACGACGAGGATTCGGAACGCTGTACGGCAGAAGCGATTATAATGCTCATCTTCCTGCTCAACGCCGCTCCGCCTCTCATCGACTCGAACAGCAATGAATTACAGATATCGCTTGGCCCATCGTACTATCAAGGACGTCTGATCTCGAATGTCGAGGATGCGATGAAGTTACGCGACGCAGAACATCCAAAAATTTCGTCTCGGCTTCTGGCAGTCGCCGGCAAGTCCCCCGACCTCATCTTGAACGCCTTGAACTTGTACACGGTTTTCGTCACCAGATCGCTGGTCGGCTCTCACGGGATCCCACTCTGGAAGATTTTACACAATATGAAGAACGATGAAGGACAGTCATCATCCCTTCGACCTGTTCTGCTCGACCTGTGGAAATTCCTTCTCGAGTCCGCTCGCCCGGTTGGAGACACAGCCAGCCGTCTCCAGACGCACGACTTCATCAAACTCTGTCTCGTCTTGGCGCAGCCGGGTGTGCCGCGCATTTTTGGCAGAGAGAGGCCAGCGGACGACTGGGGGAAACTGATCCCTATTCTCGAAAAGATCGCCGGTGACGACACTCCAATCGAGAACTTCTCTTTTGCCACCATGGCAGCGAGGGAAGAGACGATTCCCGGCCTTGCGAACCATGCTTTCGACGAACTTAAGCCTGACGACCCCGACGTGCCGGAGCGGCTTAGGGAGGTACTCGCTCGGTTCGCTGGTAGGGGGCCCAAGCCTCCGCCTAAGAAGGATGGTGGATCGAGGGTAACAATGAACTTTCGCTTGCCATTTATTCCAAGGCGCGGAAGGCCAGGCGATGCTTCTGGTGGTACGGAGCGCCCCACTTCTCTAAATCTGGAGGCAGGCCAAGGCTTTCGGCATTCTATTGCTGCGCTGCCAGCGCCGCGGCCACCCTCAATGTCCATCTGGACCAAACCTCAGTCTCACAGTGTGCCGATACAACCGTCCAGTCGCACAAGCTTCGGAAGTTCTGACGATGTGCCGCTAATGCCAGTAACGCCGCCAGTGGCCATACCCCCTATCGCGCCTCTTGCCTCCGCGCCGCTGTCGGAGGCAGCTCCCTCCGTGCCTCCGACCCCTGTCATGCACAGCACTGCACCTCTCGCGTCTGCGCCATCGCCTCCAGACATACACTCCCTCTCCAAAGCGCGTCGCCAGGGAGTGCGCCAGGACAATGAGCCATATACCATTGTATCTCCTCCGTCAAAAATGCCTTCTCCCCCGTCCTCTGTTGATCACACTGCGCCCCCGAGACCACAATCGCTTTCGCGGCGTTCTGGCAGCGGGAAACCTACTGTAGCGACAACCCCAGCTCTCCCGCGCTCCGCAAGCGTCGATGCTGCTCGAATACCTGTAGCAGACTCCCACGCTGGTAGTACAACTCGAGCCAGACCGCCTCCTCAACTCGCACGTAATATCATCGACAATGTAAGTGCATGACCTGAACATTTTTCAGTTGCTGACGAGTAGATGCAAGGTGACTCCTCGAAGTCTTCCACGAAGCAGTGCTGCCATACCAACCGGTCGGCATATGCCCGCCGGAATCGACAACATCCGTGGGAGCGGAGAGAGAAGTCGTTCGGGTAGCGCCAAAGTCGGTGAAGGCACAGGCAACATCTCACATCGTATCCCTTCTCGTCGTAGCCGAAGCACCTCGAGAGTTCCGTCAGCTCTGCCTCCCGCCAGCGGACTTCAGCCTTGAGTCTTATTTCTGAACGTGCTCGTACGAGCACTTTAGCTTGAGGTTGTCCTCGGGTCGGTCTCGGTTGACATAGAGGGCAATTTGCAGAACAATAGCTCTGGTTCAAGCTAATGAATATAAGCTAAACCGCTGTGACTCCATACGTGACCATGTTGGCAGACGGAGCTACATCATACGCCGGTTTTAACAGCCCGAATAGCTCTGGAATTGAGCCTAAGCTGTGAAACTGACAGATATTCCAATTGCTTTTCTGGTGATTCATGCAGCACTTAGTACCGATCTCTTAACGACCTCAAGCCAGCTCCTGACTCCGACAGGACGATGCGCTATTGCGAACTCTTCCAAACTTGAGTTTGACAAGCCCTTCCTAGCGTCGTATCACAAGACTATATACTCCTCTGCCCATATGACGGTCTACGGTGGACAAAAATAAAATCTCGAGCTCGCGGACCCCCTATAATCTCATTTTTGCTGCCTGTAATTGACAGTAAGCGAGTTATTACCTACTTAGTTGAAGCACTGCTTACCTTTTGGAACACTAATGAGCTCTGGCGTACCAACGCGCATGGTAGGGCATGACCATGCATGAAAGTGTGCAAAAGTGCACGTACGTGCATGGCCACCTGAAGGCGTCCTGCCTCCATAGAGACAGCACAGGTTTCTGATAGGGGCTTAAGCAGAACCGAGCGTCCCCGGTGGCGGGGTTGTTCATCCCCATCGCCCGGGGACACGAACGCCTCGGTAGTTTAGCAGGAGCAGCAGTCTTTAGTGTCTTGCTCCATGACATTCGCCACCGCAGTAATCACGGTGGCCTCCATCACAGCGACAATGGGAAATGCAGGGACATCCTGGAGCTTGCTAACCCAAAGGTCGAAGGGCGCAGATGGGAGTTGGGGCATCTCTGGGATGACTTCGGCTACGTCGACATCGCTATCGTACGAGTCCATGTGCATGTCCTTCTGCAAGAGCTCATGAATGGGTCGTAGAGCGAGAAGGCAGCAAATTTACTCACAACGATGAAATGGCAGATATTGCTCTCAGGCTCTAACGAGGAGGGAAGGAACACTTCACAAGGGTAAGTTCTATGTCAGCACAGAGCAACAGGACTACTTACGGTTTCCCAGAGCGGAGTATATCAGTACGTCACAAATCTTACGCTTACCCAACTGTCCCATCTCCTCATACTTCACAGCTTCCTCCTCAAGCGTTTCGTCGTGGTCATAGTCACACCAGTCAATAACTGGATCGGCGGCTTCGTCGTGGCGTGGGCTGAACATTGAGTTCCGGTGTGTATTCCGCGTTTTGATAAAGGCACCTGGTGCATCGTGATACTGCATACTGGCAGAGTTCAGAAATAAGGACGCGTAACATGATAAACGATAGTGAAGTTTGTCGCAGGCGTGATTTCTGTCCCGTCTTCATAGATGGCCTCCAAGACGATGCATTTCCGACAGCAGGTCCGGGGAGGTCAGGTTTGCGTGGCAGGTGCCTTCCCTGTACTACCGTGCTTTGATACAGAGTGTTTACGGTTCTTGACTGCCGGCATGCCTCTGTGGAAGCTTGAAGGGCACGGCCAGCAATGAAGACTTGTCAGATAAACACGTACCGCTAGGCAGGGGACACCAATCAAGAACGATATCTGGTATATAGGTGGCAATATTCGTCCTATAAGAGAATAAAGACCTGCTCGGCGTCCATAAACGCGAATTTCTCTTCAAAAGCACTGTCATCTGGTACTATGGGATAGCATCGTAGACGTCAGGTAAGTCGACACTATGTTATGACGGAGTTGAAATATGCGCCAGAGCTCAGGTCCCGACGCGACTCCCGTTGTGGGTCCTATCCCGCCATCACGGCCATCGCCGAAAGATGTGGGCGGACCTGCGCCCGCCGCTTTGGCACTTTGCCTCCCACTCCCATCCATGCCGTCTCCTCTACCACCCGAAAGGCGATCTCACGCACACCACAACATTATCGCCACTACCCTCATTAATCTCGTCCCCACATGACCTTCTTGCTGATGCCCGAGCATCAATTGAGTTCGAGGGCAGGACAGTCAGACGTTACAGCGCATTTACTCGGACGATGCAGGACTATCGACTACTTCTTTGGGCTACACTGGTGCTGGGCGGAATTGAGGTGAGTACATGATATGGCTCTGAGCAGATGAACGCAATTCATCAGTAGTGAAAACGCAGCACCAGGTGCCTCGGACTGCTGAAGTCACCTTGGACTTTGACGGCCCAGTCCTGTTCAGAAACCCTTTGAGCTCTCGGTCTTGGCTTCTGATGGCACAAACCCAGAGCATGGTTCGGATGGTTCTTCCAGCAAGTCAAGCTGTCCTACCACGAACGACCTCAAGCCGCTTTTCCCTCTCGATTTCTTCCTGAGTTCCTCGAGGCCGTCGGGACGCTCGTGAACGCCGCGGGCTGCTCGTCCATCATCCCACCCTCTGCCGTCGCACCACGCGCGTCCGAAAAGTGTCTGATTGCGTTCAGATGGCGCACCCCACCATTACAGAAGATTCTCCTCCAGTCTTTATACCAGGACTTCTAGCCCGCGCTCTTCTGACATTAGTTCTCCTTGCGAAACCCATATCGCCTCCTTACGACCTTACAGCCCTCAGCAGAGGCACTCGCATGGATAGAGCTCTGAAAGTGCAAAAGACGTAGTGGCATTTTCCAGTTGTGCGTGCGTGTCATGACGCGTGCGGGATAATCTGCTGAATCTAGTTCCGCAGCATCCTATTAGCTGAACTCTCTCTTCGTCAACACAATGCCAGCTTTCTCTGCCACCAATTACGACGCACCCTTCACTGAACCGGCTCCTTCTGTCGAGGGCGACTTAGCCCCAAGCAGAATGCCTTCGTGTGTATTGGCTGCCCTAATTTGATTTGGCACAGGCGCTTTTGGTGTCGCTGTGTGGACCTCTACACATCGGCCAAGATAGGCACATTAGTGGCATCCGAGCACAGAAACTTTGACTTCGTGAAGGGTGTAGCAAAGTTCTTCAAGACACACGTGCACTGGCAGGATTGCGCTTTTTGTCCTGCGCTCTTCGGTGATTTTTGGTCAACCCCGGCCTTGGTCCTTCGCCTCCGCTTAATCATCCTCGATTCTCAGTTGACCTCTCACTTCCACGACCATCTCTGGCGTTTGTTCGTTCGTCCGCACTTAGCATGTCGTCTGTTTCCCCTCACAGGTCCCGCGTCCACACGCCCTCCAAGCTCCGTTCTCCGTAGCTGGCCTTCTTGCGCGTTCACGCTACCCTCTCCTGGGCTCGTACTAACATTGCCCCTCTACTCGTCCCGACGGCTGGGTATATCTCACACATGTCTATCGTATCGGGCGTTCCGGCCAACGTGCGCTCAGCCTTGTTGAAGGTAATCCAGAGTAGGAACCCGAGAAACAATGCCAGCTGGGAGCCCCAATGTAGGATCTGACATCCTCTTAGGCGGGGTGAGTGCTTATACGCCTTTGCTATGAACTGGACGCTACGCGATATGTTTAGATATCCCCTAAACCTCGCTTTGTACAGTATCGAAGCCTTTCGTTCCTGTTACACCGCTTGATTCATCATGTGTTTCGAGTTATATCATATTTCATCTTCTCATTGTTCATATGCCACACAGCTACTGTATCGTGTCGATCTGGCCGTCACCAACTTCCTCCCATAATACTGCTCGGGAAGACGATATCTTCCAGAGCGGCCTCATGTGAGCTGACGTAGTATGGATTCCAATACCTCTTCGACGCGATGGCGCCCGAACCGTTCTGCTTAGTATAATCATTCGGACGTACGACGCTTCGCATCCGAGAATCTGAGGCAGATGAACTACATGGTGACCGGGGCTCTGGATGCCAGGCCAGCTCCGAGTCACGTCAGCTTAACGCATGGGTTCAGGACTAGGCACCTCTTTTTCTTCGCCCCTCGGCGGCTTCAAATACCAGGCTGTACAGCGCTGGACGCTCGGGTTCGTGTGCCATCATAGCATTAAAACGCTGTCCCGATATCTGGACCGCGACGAGCTTCAGGCGCTCTGGCTTCGTACGAGTGCCTGTTGGTGGAGCCTGCGCGACGCGCTCGTTCAAACACGGGGCAGCTACGCAACTAAGGTTCGTCTCGCGACTCTTGCCTACCTGACATACCTATTGAAGCGCGATCCATCTTCCAGAAATATGCCTGCGCCTAAGCACGCGGCTATCTGCGAAGTACAGCTTCATGGATTGGGTGATTAACGGACTCTTTGCAAGCGAGTGGCAACAAGGTGTAGGCGATATTTTTCATGTGGTCTTCGAACATGGATGCGAACGAGCTCGACGTTATTGAGCGTGTGTATTCATCGCAGAGAATGTATTACTGAGTTTAGGACGATACAGGAATGGGATCGAAACGTGCGTGCGTGTATTTGGACAGCCTCTAACTGCATGCTGATGGCCATCGTAGGCTGTGCGGCGCAATAAGTTTACCCTGGCATCTGCTAGGGCACATGTTCAATGGCTAGTGGCACATGATGGCCATCTATCCCAACCATCGCCTGGCATAGTAAACTTCATTGCTGAATGTGTTTGGCTCGCCCATGCGAGTTATGGTGACTGCTGGCTCGGAGACAGGTGAGAAACTTAGCATTCCATATAAACTAAGGTTGGCATCTTCACTTTCATTGTGCAAAGCTTTCACGTGCCGTGCGCGAGCGGCAGGCATGACGCTTGGACTCTGGAGTTTAACACTGCCACTGAAAGCCTCACAATCAAATCTAACAAGTCTCAAGACCTCTCAGGTGAGCTGTTATTGGCGTACATTATGAACCGTAATCGGCAGACACGGTCCGGAAAAAACTGAGCCTCGTTCCTTACAGAGTGCGAAGATGACCCTGTTTTTTCACGTGCTGCCGTTGTTCAGGCTGTATACACGCCCTCGACATCTCCCCAGCAGATCGCCTTCAATGGCCCTCCACCCCCTTTAATGCCGCGACTTAGGCTAATAGCCTGATGCAAATTTCCAGTGAGCTGATACTGCGTATGGTTGTGGCCACTAAGGGTATAATTTCGTGGGGATAGCAATTGTATTCTCTCCAACTTTCGGGTGCGAGATTCGCTGATACATATAAAGTAGCTGGATATAGGTATATCTCTCAATTTACTACTAGAACCCGAGGAGCCGAACGTCTCTTCGCCTCCGCTTCTTAGAAGCTTCACATGCGAAACCATACAGTGCCGCACAGAGCTAGCCATTCGCCGGGGTCATGTGCTGTCGTCATATCTATTCCGATATCAAGATCATAGCAAGATGTGTCGGCTTCCCACGGCCACTGATATGACTTGCGTAGTCGATTTCTGCGAATGCAAGCCATGCTGCAAGCAGCAAGCTCCCGTTATCCAATACTTCGTGCGCGTTGCGCGCGTTAAAAGTAAGTTATACATTCGCGATACTTTGAGCGAACCATCTCGGTGCTCACGAGTCAAGTCGACGTGCTAGACTTTCTTTTCCACGCTATGGGCGAGTGAACAGCATTCATCCTCTTCCCATCTAACCTTGACTTTATTGTAATGATCCGATCAAGCTATCGTTCTTATCCATCGTTGCTACACATTCCGGTCATTCGATGCCATTCATGAAGTGGAGCACTGGGGCCTTCGGGCCACTGTGGCTGTGTCAGCCACAATTTTCTTCAGGAGGTCCACGGATGGCGAAGATGATTGAGTTTGGGTGCGTGGTCTACCATGGCATATATATTACGTTGTAGGCTTCAAAGGTCGGAGGCACACAACAACTATGTCTGAACCAGCACCGTCAATTTCCGCTCCGCCTTCATCTCAGCCTGCCACCTTGCATTTCGATAACACGCTTGGGGTAACACTCATTTGTACGCAAATCTCATTAGTCTTGGGATCTGTCTTGTACTAACTCAGGACGTAGTCGAGGTCTTGGTGGCGATGTGAGCATTTCAAGAATATCGTCGACCGATCAGACCTTCTCAGAGTGTATTTTACAGACTGTATGGCATTATCAGCGTGCAGATTTATACGTACTTCTACGGCAGCCCTCATGGCAACCGATTCGTGAAGCGGACCGTGTGTACATTTCCGTTGCTTGGTCACTGCACATACTCATCAAAGTATACAGATATTATTTCTGTGGTACACCATGAGAAGCTGCTGACTCGATATTGACGCTTACATGCACGCTCAGGGTACTCGAGAGTCTATATGTCGCACTCAACACACGTACGGTGTACTACTTCGCTGTAACAAATTTCATGAACCCTCTCGCCTTGACACAAGATCCATGGTGTGTTATCCACCTGACTCAGGAAGATGAGAACCTGTTTACTAATGTCCTGACGCCTTAGGAGTTGGGCGGGCGCTATGATTTTGGGTGTACGTGTAATGTGTACAGTTGCCCATGCAGATGCTGACATTCATGAACAAGGACCTCATCGAGAGCACCGTGACATCGTGCGTCGTTTATCGAAGAGAAGTCTTCTGCAGCTCTAACCACGAATATATCTCACGTAGCATCTTTGCATACAAAATCTATAAGCGTGCGTACACAGCCTACTATCTACCACTTACAAGAAACTGACAAGAATGATAAGTCAGCAGGAGTATATGGCCACTCGTATTCATTGTGAGCCGCGTGATATTTCTACTATTACATCTCGAATACTATGTTGAGACACGATAGGTGCCACCTCAATTCGTCGGCTGGAGTAAGTTTCCCTGAGTTTCCTCATTGGTCTTGAAGCTCACCGGCTATTTTTGCAGTGACATCGATCGGTGGGTATTGGCATGAGTCATATCTGTTATAATTGTATATTGAACACGCCGCGTAGCCATCGCCGTACTCGAGTAAGCCCTCTACTTCACTCCCCCGTTCCTCTCGCAGCGCCACTCACCAACTGCAGGCGCAAGTTCCCGAGCTTCCAGGTGCTGGGGCAACGATATGCTGTGCGCACGCCGCTTCTTTGATCCGCTTTACCTTGACGCAAATATATACAAAGTGGGCTTGGTATCTTGTGTTCGGTCTCCAGGCTATCGCCGACTGCGCTATTGCGATCACACTCTGCACGATACTCACCAAAAGTCGCACGGGATTCAGACGGCACGTCCTTCCCCATTTCTCCGGCAGCTGCAGCCAGATTTATCGATCTACAGGACCGAATCGCTCATTCGCACACTTGTCGTTTACAGTATCAGCACAAGTGCACTCACTAGGCGAGTTTTCGACTATCTCGAGTAATTGCAGCACTAATAATATCCGTGCAGCTCTGTGTCTGTCGCTTCTGTTATTATAGTGAGCCCTCTTACCCTTGCATGGTTGACTCGGCTAATTGGGTTGACAGTACGCCACGATGCCGCACAACTTCGTATTCATCAACCTAGGCATATTGCTACCAATGTGTCTGTTTTGCGTTGTTTGATACTGCATATTGGTCTTGACGTGTTGGTATAGTGATGTCAAACTCCCTACTCGCGCTGCTCAACTCACGCGATGTGCTGCACAACATACATGGACAAGTCATGTCCATCCACCTCTCAAAGATCACGGAAGTCGACAGCCACTCTGCTCCGCCGAACAAGAAACAGACGACGCATGCCCATATCAATGTCGTCAAGGGTCATGTGCGTCACCGCTGCTAAGGGTGCCTTCTCTTTTGCTCACCATACCACTGTGTAGGAGATTGCCGAATTCCCTGCGACGGCTGACGCCTTGAACGGCTCGTTCGACTCGGAGTCGCAACGTGCAAGAGTTGCCATGATGTGAATCCTCCAGCAGACAAATTTGGATGGGAGCGTTCTGGTTTGTCGTTCTGGTTCATTCATTTGTATCCATGGCACGCGAGGCGCAAGCTCAGGACGACGTGGATAGATTTGGTCATATCAGGTTAACACTCAGCCGCTTCACGCTTCATACGGTATCGCTGCCGCCAAATTCTCTGCGACTCGCGTGTTCTCCGGACGTGTTGTTTTGCTGGCAGTAAGACATTAATTATATTTGCTAATTGAATAATAAGACAACTGAGGCCTGTCGTGCTACTGTATACATACCGAACCTGATGCGTAGTGAGAATCGTACGTCCAGCTCAGAAAGATCAATACTTACTGAGCTTTAGACTCCCGTGGTCTACCGCGGCGTCCAGACGTGCACCCCCCACTCTGCTTAGGACAAGCGATACACCACGCCGCTCTGAGCCGGAGAGCCGTGGAAGCGAATGACAAGGATACGTGGCACGATGACGAGGTTGGTGCTGTTTATCTTTATAGAAGCCAGCACGGTGTTTGGGTGGCGGTCCAGCAGAAACGAATATTGTCAGTGGCCGAAAAGTCTCCGCTGCATAGCAGAGTATCCATTTCGACCGGGTGCGACCCTGACTGCCAGCGTATCTTCGCAGAAGCTTGCAAGATGCTACCACCGGTGCTGACATAGACATAGTAGTCGAAGACCACGATGTGCAGGTGGCTGGGCGTGCTCTGCGCAAGCCTGATTGATATAAGATAGCCTGCTGCGATTCCATACATAACAATTTTGGTAGATCGAGCTGCCTTAGTATACGCTGGTCTGAATAGCACGAATAGCTCGCCGCCGGAGATGATCAAATATAACTTATCCTAAACTGTAGAACTAACAGATACTCTAATTACTTTTCTGGCGATTCATATAGCGCTTAGTATCGATATCTCAATGACCCCAAGCCGGCTTCTGACTCTGACAGGACGATGTGCTATTGCGAACTCTTCCAAACCTGAGTTTGACACGCACTTCCTGGTGTCGTCTCACAGGACTTTATACTCCCCTGCCCAACTGAACTATCACCCGACGCTCGCAATGACCACATTCTCTCGCTATCTCGCCGATACTCAGCATTGATGAACACTGGCACTGCTATCCTGCATATGGTAGGCTTATCCTCGAAAATATTGGTGATGCTATCCGCAGCGAACGCTAGCTAAGGTCGAGCCGACCCAGCAAACTACACATCACGGTACGCTAGTCGTCACAAATCTCCCAAGGCTCGGG